AGTCAAGGTATGACACGCCCCCCCCCCCCCAAAAAAAATGCTCAGAAAAAAATAAGGCTCTTACAGCTTTCAAGAGATTGCTGGAACCTCCAGGTGTGCTCGGCTCTGAGAAGGCGGCTCCCTTGTCCGGTGCAGCTGGACTCTTGCGAACGTGATTCATGATCTCCTGCAAGGACACCAGCTGCTCCTCCTCACTGCTTTGGGATGTCTGGCTTGATTCCAAATCAAAAGCAATGCCCAGGCTCAGGTCCAGGTCCTCGTCCACAGAATCCGCTTTATCCGTGTGCGGACGCGCGCGCCCTTCGCTTCCGTTGAGTGGAAGCGCGCGGGACCGGCGGGATGTGGAAGGTTGCCTGGCTTTGTTTTTGTCGTCATGTTTCAGGCTTTCATGCGTCAAGTGCCTGCGTGGCGGAGGGACCGAGCAGTCTTTGCCTTTTCCGTATATGGACTTCAAGGACTCGATATTTAACCTTACTAATGACACAATTGGCAAGGAAACGTGGAGGTGTTTTGATGAAGTGGGGCCTTTTGCAGAACAAGTGACTCCAGAGTCTTTACCCTTCTGACAAGAGTTCTCAGAACTTTGGACGGCGGCGCCGCATCCCGGCGGTCTTTTCTCCGTCTCCTCATCTGTTCTGCTCTTGGCGGTCTTCGGCACAGAGCTGACGACGACGTCTGGGGTGAACAATTCGTCATAGTCATTGGGAATGGTCCACCTCCGCTGGTGCAGTTTCTTCCGTTTTGCTGGCGGAGGGCCCGGAGAAGAATTGAACTTGGAGGGTGATTCATGGTGAACATCGTGAAACTTGCGTTTCGGAGTCCTGAGCGAGGAATCTGAGGATCCGTGTTGGGATTGCCGAGGAGGGCTGAAGTGAGGTGGACTGATGTGTTTGGGGTGGGCGTCAGCATTTGCTTTTTCCCTTTTGCCACGTTCCTCTCTTGTCTTGAAAACATCTCCGGTGTGCTTGGAAAAGGATCCCAATTGGATAACGTTACCGTGAATGGACTGTATAAAGAGCTGCCTCGCCCCTAAAAAAGGTCGTTTTCTCACGTCGGGTTTGGACCGCGTGCAGGGCAACTGGTCGGGTTTGGATTTGGGCGATGGACCCAAGGATGCAAACTGTTCTTTTGGAATTTGAGGCTGCAGTGATGCCGCGGACGTCTTTGAAGGAGTCTTGGGCGGCGGCTTCGGCGGCTCTTCTCGAACACAAGGCTTCTTGACGCTGGCGTCGCTGTCCTCGCACTCCCTGCGCCGCTTCTGGAGTGTGTGGTCCAAGCTTGCGACTGAAGAGAAACAAAATCGCACATTTCTTTGACTACAGCGGTGGCACAGAATGTATTGTCTCCCTTGATACAGTCCATGAGGTGGCCATACTTTAGTGCTCAAGGGCCACATTTTGGTTTGGTTTAAAACAAACAAACAAAAGAATTGTACAATACAATAAATTCATATTTTTAAATTGTATTAATTCAATTACAATGAATTTTCAGTCGACATTAAAAACAAAATCCGTGCAATCATTTTTAAGGGAGGAGTCAATTACTTTTGATTTTCGCTAATTGTAGCTAATTTTCACCAACCATTGAAATCTGAAATATTACCTGGAATGGATTTTTCACTTGAAGGTGTGGACAAACGTTCCTAAAAGAGCAAAGAAAGCATTTTTTTTTCCCAGTAAAAGATCAATTCAACATTATTGTAACAAGATGTGTTTTTTATTGCCAGAACTGCACTTATCAGCTCATATGTTATCATGTACCTTTGTTGACTGCACTCTTTGGACAGAGGCACTTCTTCCCAAGTTCGACGCCACCATGGATTTATGCTCTCTCCCGTTGTGTACTGAGGGATAGCGAGTGCTTAAGTCCGTTCTGGGATGAGGGGATTCATCGAGGGAAATATTTGGCCGACCGCCTTGCGCCCCGTCGTGTTTTTTAGCAACTGTGGATGGAGTGACTGGAGGTTGGGGTTGCAGCAACGGGCTCAGTCGCAGCCCCGACAGCCACTTGCGGTACTCTGGACGGTGCGACTCTGATGAGCGAACTGGCATGAGACGACAGGACGGCTCGTATGGCGAAGGTGAGCCGTGGCGCTGGCACAAGTCGGGGCTGAGGAGCGGCAACATTCTCCTGGGCGGGGCTACGAGACGGTTAGCGATCTGAGAGGGTTTCATTGGAGTTTCTAGAAGAAGGGAAAAAAAAAAAAAAAAGTGAAATGGTGTAGGGGGCTCCGTGTGGTTATTGACCAGCATTGACGTTACAGTGGCAGAACATTCATTGACTGCAATCATGTAGTTTGGGGACAGAGGCTCGCCACACTTGGCTTTTTCCAGCCACGGGTACTTACAAACTTAAGGATTAGAATGATTGTAAAACAATAGACTGTGTCACATATTCATAAACTGACCACGCTTTCCTCCAGACCTGCCTCTGAGCTCTGAAGTTCAGAAGACTTACAACTAGGCTGGAGTAATAGTCGTTTAATGGAGAGGATAAAGAACACATGCCTGTGACTACAGTATTGTTTAATGATTAGTGTTCATTTGTTGCCAGCATTTGTGTCCAAATGTTCAGATCAGTGCCCCCCCAAAAATTTGAATTATTATTTCAATAATGTGTTTCAAAAAGTAAGACTTACTATATCGGTTCTATTTAAATATTTCAAGTCTTGATTTGTTTCAATGTTGTTGTTGTTGTTGTTGTTGTGCATCCCAGGGCAGTATGGCTCAGTGGTAGAGTGGAGTGGATGTTTCCCAACCCAAAGGTTGGTGGTTCGATCCCCAGCCATAGCAACAATGTCAAGGTATCCTTGATCAAGACACTGAACCTCCTGATGCTGTGTCATCCTTAGCTGAATGAGGTAACCGTGTGAAGTGCGTTGAGTGCCCAAAGTAGAAAAGCACTATATAAGTGAAAGCCCATTTACTTTCTGCGTCACAATTTTATGCAAAACACCTTCAGAGGTTTCTCTCATCTTTTAAATGGTCTCTGTTACTGTATGTGGTTTGTTTAAAGTGTAGTCCTCTTTATTCGATTTAGGTTGAGCGTAAAATTCATGCTCAGCAATACAATTAATCAGTACATTCAGAATTGCAATCCTCAAGGTATATTAGCAATTTGCAATGAAAATATTTTCAGGATTACAAGTAAGAAACAAAACTCATTACGCATCTTTCTATGACCCACCTTTACATCTCGGGGAATTGTATTCTGCATTCTTAAGCGCCCTGCAAACATAAAAAAGTCGATGTTACAAAAAATAATAACCACACAAGGGGGTTGTTAGATTACGTTTCTGTATGGACATCGGTAGCCTAAACACACACGGAGGATGGGTCCCAAAAAACTAAAAATGCAAATTCACAAATAGCAGTGGTCCACTGTACAGCAGTAAAACAACATCTAGCACATAAAGCCCCTAACCTGAGACGCAAACAACCGTGACTGTTGGGGAAGGTACAAAAATGAGTGCTCGTGTCAGGAGTTCGTTCAAGGTCGCAAATGTTCGCCGACAGTATTGGTGAGCACAGGAAAACATCTGGCGAACATTAGGCAAGCATTTGCGACCTCGAACGCAACATTGGTTGCCTCCAAAATCGTTCGCAATCGTTCGCCGCTCAGTAGGAGAGGGGCTTAACCCACCCATCGTCACAACAACACTCCTACGCATCGACCATGTTGCTACTGTCTCGCACGGCCAATCACGGCGCGCGACGACATCAACCGCCAGACAACTACAAATGTTTAGAAGCGTTTGACGAGTAAACACTGAGCTCAGGCATTCGGCGTTCAAAATAAAGCACACGCGCGTAGGCTAAGCTCCCACTGCGAGCCTTCGACCGTTAACTCTTGTGAACTTCACGCTGCACTGTCGTGATTAAAAGCCCTTTTGTTGAATCAAATTCGCTCCGCACCCAGGAGAAGAAACAATGTGCAACTGCGACGAACCTTGCATGCACTGCGCAAGCTAGAAGCGCTCGTTGAAGCTAGCTTAAGCCAGTAAACGCAATCACGAAAGGGGTTACATCGGCGATTTTCAAAAGGCCGCACGCTTACTCACGTAGTATCTCCTTTATTTTCAGTCCCGGTTTTCATTTTGAGGGTGGAGGAGTACTTCGCAATAGTCATGTGCCAACGGCTGCAGAAGCGGAAGTACCGTCGTTGTTTCGTCACCCGCTCAAAGTGGTCCTCCACCGACTTGACACGCGTTGCATTATGGGCCTTTTAGTCTTTTCCAGGTTTTCTTCTTCTTCGGCTTTGCATTCACTCTTCGTGTGCTGACGTGATGACGGCAGACGACGGACCTGCCGAAACAATGCTGCATTCTGCAGGCGAATTACACATAGTGTCATTTAATATTTTATATCTCAAACATCCACTATCGTGGTAAAATAAAGAAACAAAAGGAAGACTGAGAAGCGGAACCCTTTTACTCTCAATTTCAGGGAATGACATTACACATGAAATGGCAACACGTGGTAGACAAATGGTTTATAGACCCTAAACTTAACTGGGAAAATCTGATTATTTATGTTTTGCTCTTTCGGTAATGGATTTGGCAACTAGTACAGAGTTATTAGCAGCGCAGGCCACATATTCACCACAGGACAACATTCCAGACAACAATAACAACACAATTAACAACATTAATGCCATGACGCACATTAAAAGAATGTTGGGGTGTCAAACCTTTTCTGTTCAGGTAGTTTACAAAAGGTATACTAGTTGTCAGCGTTTTAATGACTACAGTATTATTGTGATGGGCAAATACTGCCATATAAAAATATTAAGATACCAAAAAAAGCACTGGGCCTTTGTATGCTGACCGTTTTTATATTTCTGCAAATAAATGCTCGAAATGACAAGATCAATAAACTGAATGTTGGAGTCGCTACATGTCATCAATACTTTTTTGACATCTTGCATTCTAATGGGCCTATTATGTCACAATCAAAAGCCATACAAACATCATAATGGATGAATACACAAAACACACACAGTACATTCAAACATCGATTTAATTAATCATTAGTTACATAATGACATGCGCGGATAAACACGATATAATACGACATTTGAATATTTCTATATTAATAGGCATTTTATTTACAGTCTTAACAACCTTGTATTGACTTAATTCCCAAGCACAGGCATATTACAGTGTTCCAACTAAACACACAATGATTAGCAACATGAAAGAGACTTGTTTGTGTTCCAGTCGTTTCACTTCTTCGCTTTGCCCTGAGCGGCAACGGCCTCCATGGCTTTGCGCACGGTCTCCTCGTCTCCCAGGAACTGCATAGACTTCACGGGCTTCAGGTTCTTGTCCAGCTCATACAGGATCGGAATGCCAGTGGGCAGGTTCAGTTCCATGATGGCCGCGTCAGACATTCCTTTACGGAAAGCAGCACAAAAATATGGATTGATATCGACCCGACCCCGCGAGCCCGTCGGCGGCGGCGCAACCCCCCGGCGCACCCCGGCGCGCCCCGGCCACCCGAGTCCGGAGCGGGAGGAGAAACACAACAGGCGGCGGATAGGAGAAGGCGGCGGCGGCGGCGCCGGGCGCGGGGGGTAGGCGGGGCGGGGGGGGGGG